GTTTTCCTGTTTTTTACAATATTTAGGAGTTCTCTTTCAGTACCCATTCTTCTTAGCACCTTGTTGTTCAAGGCGACCCTCATGACGAACTCCTCTTTTTATTGGCAATTCTGATGTCAGATGATTGTCAATTTTGATCGACGCCATTTGATCCCAATATAGTTTTTTAATTTAGTTTTTTAAAGTGTTATGGTCTATACCATGTTGTGTTAGGGTTTCTATGAGTTTTGTGTGTTTTACTCTATCAAACGCTTTTTCGAAGTCGATAAAACAGAGAAACACGTCTTTTCGCTGATCTCAGCATTTTTGTAATAATATCTGGAGACCAAATCATGCCTCCCTTGTACCAAGCCCCATCCGAAATCCAAATTGATTGTCGCTTAGGTTTCTTTCGCATTCTCTCTATATTCGTTGATGTACAATTTTTAACCAAATTTTCAGAAAATGGCTCATCATGCCAATTAATCTGAACTGTTGACATCTATTTGCTTTATTTTTCTTGGTGGTATATATTTTGTTAAATAATATTGTTAACGTCTGAAGATTTTCTTCATTGATCAGTTTTATCATCTATACGTATATTTCATCTGGACCTGAGGCTTTTCGTGGCTTTGTCGTATTGATTGATTTTGTAACTTCCGATGTTAATATTTCTCTAGAACAGTCAAATTTTATTGACCTTTATTAAGGGCGATTTTATCATTGATTAGTACTAGGAGATTCCGATGATGGATGCTCGCGATCGTTAAAGGGGATAGTCGGTAAGAAAAACGGGAATTTCCATTTCTAATGATCGGGAATTTAAAATCGATTCATGAGTGGTCGCTTGCAGTGGTTGTACTGTATATATGCATTTTCATCAAAATGTGTTTAAAATATGGGAGATAGTAGTTTAAGATTCATACACTTCTTATATCAAATCATATGGATAACCCTAAAATAGTCTGTTTGCTCAAAAATTTAAACTAATTGCATTTCAAACAAATCACTTAAATTTGTTTTATAAATAATACACAATAAGTTGGATCAAGTATTCACCATTGGTCAATTAATTCCTGAAAAAGCCAACTTCCTAAAATAATGGATAGTGCATCAAATTTTTAAAATACAATTTATCTAAAATCTAGAAAATATATCGTCCCGATGTATCTTACATACAATGACTTTGTTTTTTTTACCAGGCTCTATTAATATTCCTAATTACCTGGTTAAAATAGTTAAAAGTTTGTGTAAAAAATTAAGCAATCGTGATATTGTAAATAGATATTCACCATCGGTCAAATAATTCCTGAAAAAGCCAACTTTGTAAAATGAAGGAGAACACGACATCAAATTTTAAAACTATAACTCATCGAACATCAAGAAATATAACGTCCCGTTTATCTTAAGGCCGTATGACACTATGCATTTTCTTGTATCATTTCTTATATCGTTTCTGATATAACAAAAAAATGAATAGTGTCATACAGGCGTATAGTTTCTTATATCAGAAACGATACAAGAATTTGTGTCCGCTGCATTTTCTTGTACAAGAAATGCGCCAATTTGTGCGCAAAGCCGCTAAAACGTAAAACTTCTTTCATGTCATATTGGCGGATGGAGGCATAGAGAAATAAAAATAATTATTATTTTTATTTCCCTATGGCTGGAGGAGAACTTTGATATATACCAGAGATATGTAAGTATCTCTGATGTATACTTACATACAATTAGGCCAAACAGACATCAGAGAAAAGTGCCCACCAACAATAACCAAGATTAGAACATCAGTAGCCATATTAAAAAACAATAAATCACAGTGATTGTATCAAATAGCATCGGAACTACTGAAAGTAGGAGGAGATGTTTTACTAAAAACAATACATAACCGCACTAAAAATTCGTGATGATTTTAAAGATTATTTTATATCTCCAAATAAGAGAGTAGAGTTTCAAGAGGATACCATTTAAACACATAATTAAAAAAAAACAAATAAATTATTACAACCAAATTATTTATTATTTCTGTCTTCCATTACAACCTGTTGAATATCTTCAAAAATTGTGGTTTCCAATTTAGTTTTCATATTGGGACATTTTATTTCTTTCATTTTTGCACCACAGTATTTTTAAAAATAATCAGTAGCATATGTTCTCAGTCCCCAGTAGCTTCGGGTGCTCACTCCTCAGGCCCTTGTTCGGTGCCTCAGGTACTGCAGTTCTATTTCTATAGGTGTCAAAATTTCGACCAATCATGTGCCAAATCACATACAGTTTCTGGTAAAAGAACTTGCATAGTGTCATACAGGGCAAAAATGTACTTACAAGAAACGATACAAGAAAACATAAATAACTTTCTATATCAGAAACGATATAAGAAATGATACAAGAAAATGGATAGTGTCATACGGCCTTTACATGCAATGACTTTTCTTTGACCAATTTCTATTAATATCCCACATGCCTAAATAAAATAGTTAAAAGTTCTCGTATTAAAATAATGAAGCAAGCGTCATATCGTAAACATTTTTCCGTTATTAACTTTAAAATGTTTAATTTCATTTAAAAATCAATTTCTCTATTATTCCATATAGGCCAGGGAAGAAAGAAAATCTAAAAAAAAAATCTTATACATGTTTTTGAATGTTCTAAAAGGTGTATAAGAGATAGCTGATGACGTGATGACAAATCCTTAAAGACCTAAAGCTGATTTTGCGTTGTTTTTTGCACACAATGGTTAATAGTAAAAACGTAATTTTTTGCCTATACCACGTTTCTTATGCATTTTAGAATAAAGGTTTTAAATAAAAGTTTTAAATTTTAAAAAGTTCTTTAGGTAGTTTTCGAGTTTATAAATTAAAATACATAAGCAAGTGAACGCGATAACTGCAAAAAAAAACCTTTTTTGCTGTAATCCATAAATGTTAAAAACTTTGTTTCTTACATAATGACAAGTAATATAACTGCTTGAAATTATAGCAATTAATGATTTATTTATCTAAATCTCAGCTAGATCGACCAAATAGTTTTCAAAAAGTTATTCAATTTGTTTATCTCGAAAAACGATTTTTTTAAACAACTGTTTGTACTTGATCAAACAGTGATTCTATAAACGGTTCCGTTCGCTTAAATGTAGTACCCATCTGTTAAGAACTGAGTTTTTATCATGTAGAATTTTACCTTTAGTGCCTTTATTATACAAATTTTTAATCGCTGTTTAAATTCTCGGCGGCTATTATTTAAGGATTTTCTTAATAATAATTGATTTAATAATAGTTAATAATGTTGATTTTCTCTCTCCTTTGACCGATCTCCTTTTTTAAATTGGATATTCTCTCTTTAAATAGTGCTTGAATTAAAAAGTGTTAATGTTAGTGTTTTGCTCCTCTAAAAGACACAACACCTAATAACGTAGAACAGTGTCTTACATCGATGAGTATATGATCTATCTGGTTAATCGTTTCATTATCAGATTTCCAAGTTCCCTTAGGTATATCTTTATGAGGAAATCATGTCTCAGCTATTACCATGTTCTTCGACATCAGAGAGTTTATGATTCTGAAACCGTAATCATTAGAGTCTACGTATAGGCTCTCTTTTCCGATGGTGCGCAAAAATATATTCTTTGGACACTTATCGTACTCTCGGTCTAGTGCCTCATAGAACATGTCTTTTTCATCATCCTCTTTTTCCTTCGTTGGAGGGTGGATTCCAATAATTCTTATATTAGCGAACTTTTCTTTAAGTCTAATTTGACATATCCTAGGATCAATCGGTTTAAAATCAATTACACTATGTTTAACCTTGTTGCTTACAATAAATCCGGTACCAAATTCGTGTCGGGTAGGATATCCACGGTAGTAAATATTGCAGTTAATTTTTTTCAGGATGTCTGAGCTCGTCCATCTGATTTCCTGTAAAAAAAGGATATCTGCTTTGGCTTTATTCATTTTTTGTATAAGCAAAGCCATGGCTTCAGGCTAATAAAGGTTTCTTACGTTCCACGTGCAATTTTTTTATAAATCATTATCCTTGTTTTATTTGCGATTTTGTCGTAGGTTAGACAGTCCGGTCTCTTTCTTTGTAGCTCTCATAACTGTTTTTTACAGGGTTGGGTAGTAAACCCAACGCCAAACCCCCTTTTCGGAGGGCCATTTTACCCGCTCTCGTCAGTTCCCGACCAAACTTTCCAGCCGGGTTGGATACTGGATCTGCAGTTGGGTTACTCGGTTTACAGGGGACTCCAGCGTGAAGGTGAGATTCAGATTTAAGTAGAAGAAGCTAATTGGAGTAAAGTGGAATTAACTTCATGCTTTCGCATTCTACCCCTTTATCCCTCAATTTTTTTTAATATTCATTATAATCTAAGATTCAGACAATCGAATGCAATCTGCTAAATTACTCTTGAAGTCATTGTTTAAGCAAGTATAGTTTTTTTACAAATCGCTCTTCGTGATAATCAGTTATATTACGTTTCATTATGCAAAAAAAAAGTAAAATTCCCCAATCAAATCCATTAAATGTTAGACTATATAATTTTAATATTCCTATTATATTTTAAAAAATGTTTTGAGATTTTCTTTGACACCACAAGGTAACATCATTCTCGAATTTGTTATCTAGTTTTCCAAGTGGTGTAAATACGATATCTCTAACATTAGATTACGAGCGATATTTTTTAAAAGTATATTAGAGTTCATTTTCTGTCTTACTAGTTTTTTATCTACTTTTGACATCGATTATATTTTTTTATTTAGATATGTATATTTTGGCTTTGATTATCATCTTACTTTAATATTTGACAGAAATATCTTATGTGTTTTACTTACAGTCTCGCTATAATAATCTTTACTTTTAGGTGTCTCTCTATTATTCTCTTCATTATTCAGTTGGATTTTTTTGTAAAAATTCGGTAATAAATTTCCATTTAAAAAATTCGTTTTAAATAAAATGTATTGTGTATATTTTTTAGAACAATAGGAGTAAAATAGTTCTAAAATATATGTTTTATTTTGTTGTAGCTGTTGTTTACGGATTGCCTAGCTCCACAACCGAAATAGCCAGACTTCGCATTGGTCCTTTCTACCAATATATGTTTGACCTCTTTGATACTTTCGTCACATCATCTTCATTTAGCATGCCAAAATTTCTTATGGTATCGGCACATGATACAACATTATCTGCTGCACTTGGAGCAATGAAAGCATTTAGGAAACCAGTGAAATTCGGAGAGACTTTAATTTGGGAACTTAAGCAAGACAATAATGGAACCTTTTTTATTAACACCTATTATAAAACTGAAGACAAAATAAGTGGTATCAATTTAATGGACTGTAGCTTTGATTGCGATTACTCTATATTTAAAAAAAAGTTGTCAAGTATTACAGTAAGTTATGAAGATTGGGCCATTGAATGTAACAACTAAAATAAAATATTTTTTAACAAGTATAATATTAATAACAATGTCTATAATTAATTATTCATAGAGTAACTACGATATCATAGATACTAATGGTATAATGTAGCAGTCCTTCAATTCCACTACTTCTTCTTCTACTCTATCGTTATGTAATTGGTAAAGTTAACAAGGAGATACAAAGTTTTTAAAGTTTGTTAATATGTATTGAATAAATGAAACTTTTTATAACCACCGTATAAAATATAGCATGTGTTTAAACCTTGTTATTTAGTTTAAGATGATAAAAATTATTATGTTGATTTATGGTCTGTCTATAATCGACAGACAAACGTTAATACAAGATTATCAGTATGGATTCAGGCAATAACATGGAACAATTAAGCAGGCAAAGTAGCAAGAGATGCAGTTGAAAAGAAAGAATACTGCACTGCAGCCTTTTTAATGTCTCACAAGCATTTGATAGAGTATGGCATGAGGGGCTGCTATCTAAAATAAAAACTCACTTTCCTCATTCTCTGTATGCACTTCTGAGATCTTATCTTACCAATCGATATTTTCAGGCAGATACAATGAAGGAGTATCAAACATATCTCCAATTCTATGGGGAATACCTCAGGGTAGTATATTGGGACCAACTTTATACTTACTCTACTGGCAGATATTCCCATAAGAGTAAACAGCACAATTATTGCTACTTATGCAGATAATACTGTATTATGGCTTATAGCTTGGTTCCTGTTACAGCCTGTTAAAATTTACAAATTCATTTAAATAAACTAGAGAAATGGTTAAAACTTTGGCGAGTTAAAGCAAATGGCAGCATATCAGCAAATATAACATTTACTTTAGACAAAGAGAGTGTACTATCTGCGCGTCTAAACAATACCATAATACCCAAAAAAAGTGATATTAAATACTTGGGACTACATTTTGACAGCCGACTAAATTGGGGAAAGGACATCTGGACAAAAAGATTGCAACTAGGATTAATATACAGAAAAATGTATTTGTTCATGAACCAAAAATTAAAATTACGTCTACATAATAAATTGTTACAGTATAAATGTATTCTAAAGCCAGTATGGACCTGCGGTATACAGATATGGGGAACAGCATCTAATTCTCACTTACTGAAACTTCACCGTTTCCAATCTAAAGTTTTGAGATATATTACCAATGCACCGTGGTATGTGACCAATTATTTTATACATCGAGATCTTCAGATCCAAAATATTAAAGACACCGTTATCTTACTCAGTGGCACTTACAAAAATAGACTACTAAACCATCCAAATACGCTTGCCCAAGACCTACTTAAGCGACCGAGGAAAGGAAGACTAAACCGCCGTGATGCCTTAGACCTTTCTATACCTTTACATACATCAACGTATACTCCAACATTTTACAGCTACAACTTATACTATATATACCTTATAATTTATAATTGTGTGTGAATTTTAACTATTGCTATTTTTTAATATGTTAGTAAATGACTTTTTAAAGTGTTATTTATATTTCAAATATTCATATATATTAGATATTTATCTTAAAGGATTTTTGTCACTGGACGGATCTCCCCTGTGTTAATTACGTGATAATCTTATTGATTATTGTTTTTTTATTTATAAAAACAGATTACAATAAATAAATTATGTAAAAAACATGTTGATTTATGAAAACAACATGGAAATCGAAATTACGAGTATATCCTAGACCAAGAAGCCTGAGACGACGAAATAAAGACATAGTTTATTACTAAATCGAAGCAAATATTAAATCCAGAATTATAATTCCCTTTTCCTTTATCCCCACGATGGGTCGGCTTACCATTTCTCCATAAGTTTTTATTTTAAATCATACCAATATCAATCCTCGTTACCGACCAGTATCTTCGCCAGATCTTCTTTAGTCTTCCTTTCTTATTTGTCTCAAAAACCCACTTAACTGCAATTCTTCGTATTTGGTGATTAACATTGAACATCGACATTGAATATGATCAAAGGATCTTAACCTATTATCTATCATTTTGGCATCTAGACTTACCCTACTATTCTTATTTTTAATTTTTTTTTGTCAGTCCATTTATCCGTCATCAAGTTTTCTTATTTCCATCACGTGCAGACGTTATGCCTTTTTCTTTTATACTGTCAAACATACTGTTTCATTCATCTTATCAGGTCTTATTGATGTTAATAGAATTTTGTTTCTTTATCTTTATCGGAATTTTAATGTCGCACAACACACCACTCATTTTCTTCTAGTTTATCTATCCAACTCTGATTATATTGCTTACATCTTTATATATTCTTACATTACTTTGTAATACCGATACTAGGTGCTTAAAGTTATTTCTTACAATTATTTTACCATCTAAAGATATCATTTTATTTATAGTAACTGCGTATTTAAGGGAACAATTTAAACACTCTTTTTTTGTTCCACTAAGTTTTAAAACTTTTTCCTCGATAGTTTGTACCCAGTGTTCCAGATTTTTTTTACCTACTTTCACTATTTTTTACTAATTACCTTGTAGTTCCGCTGTTATCTGATACCACACTAATAAGAATAAATTTAATTAAGGACTTAGCTCTAAGTCTTGGGTCAATCCTACTTTAACATGAAATTTACCAGTCTAGCCTACATCTGGGATGTAAGGGATAGTGATGAGCAACGTATAATCTCTACTATCCAAATTTTAACCTCACCTGCTCGTGTGATGATCTCGATCGTAATTATTTGGTATCCTGCTAGATAACAAACGATGCTCTGACGTCCGAGTGTTTACCGGTATAAGCAATCCCCCACTTACTGATCAACAGCCAAAATGAGCCAAAATTTGGCCAAGGGCATAAAAACTTAGAAGGTAAGTGGAAACCACCAAACTAAAGATTTCAATGGATATCCCTGGAATAATTATGTTATATGTCGGACAAAAATTAAATCCCCCGGGTTCGACTTTAAGATTTTATTCATAAAGTAGTGACATGGAACGTCAATAGTATTTGCATCTTGTAAAAGTTACATAAGTTACATAAGTGAAAGCATTGGCTGTAAGTAAATTAAGATGGTCTGGCTTAGGTAGTTCTCACAAAGATAACTTTACAGTGTAGTATTCCGGTAGCGACGCAACAAATAATTACCACAGGCATGGAATTGCACTAATAATGTTTAATAATAGAATTGAGATATCGGTTATAGAATACATAACTTTTACAAACACAGTAATAACTAAAATAAGCGAGAAGAGTTACTAATTCAATTTTGCAAAGAACATGATTTCGTCATATTCAATCGGTACGGACATTTCGTTTAACCACAAATGTGAGGCATCCACTAGCAAAGCTTAAAAAACCATCTAATAAAAAATACATAAACACAAGACAATAATTAAAAGATGAAGAATCACTACATACAGTAAGCACATCAACGATAATCTGAGAAATATACAAGTTAATTTCATCACAAAAACGAGTGGATGACGAAAGAGATACTTGATATAATGGAGCAACGCAATCACCACGAAATAGGTTAGAATCAATATATATAAATACAAGGAAATCCAACGTACGATACGGATTTAAAATCCCATAGGAATGAAAGAGCTGTGTAAAGAATTGGTATCAGTACAAGTAAAGGGGTACACAACTTTGGACTACGTAAAAAGGCTAAAAAAATTTCGAGTGTATACAAGAAACACCATGAGACAAAATGAGACAGTCAAGGACACTACGTACATAACATACCCAGGAAGAACTAGCTAAAATCTGGACACATTATGCTTCGTCCCTATTTATAGGTAATAGACCGAATCTGTCAACTACTAAATTATAAGTCATATAGTACATAAAGCATGCTCAACAAGTTATATAGGTCAATTACATAAAACAAAATCAATAAAATATAGATTGATATAAAAAAAGATAATATGCAATATGGAGCGTCTCTGAACCCGTCGGTCCTCATTCCCTGTAGTCTTTTATTAAGTCAAAATAATCATTTAGGTTGTAAACGCGTAATTGGATCAAGCATGCTTTTAATTTATTTTTGAATTTTTGAATATTATTTTCATTTTTTATAGTAATTGGCAAATAATTGTAAAATTTAGATCCTGCAAAATCAGGACTAGTTTCAAAGAGAGTTGTGGAAGGTTTACCCACGCTTATCAACCTCCCGTGTCTTGTCGGGTAATTATAAAAGTCAGAGTTGAGGGTAAAATTTTGAAATTTGGTTTTGACGTGAATAATACACTTATAAATATATAAAGCATGAAAAGACAACAGTCTGTGTTTAATAAAATATTTACGACATGATTGTCTATTATCAATATTGAATATCAATCTAAGAATTCTCTTTTGAGTTATAAAAACTCTAGAAGAGTTTGTACAGTTTCCCACAAGACAACATTTTAGGCCATATATGAACAAACCAATGCATAATATACACTTATCAATTGATTGGTGTTAAATAGAGTTTTCAACTGAGGGATCGCATAGTAATCCTTATTCATTGTTTTGCAGACTTTAGTGACATTTTCATCCCATGTCATATTACTTTCTAGAATGCTACCAAGAAATAATGTTGTATCACTAAAAGGTATTTCCTCAGAACTAACTGTGATTTTATAACCATGGGATGGCTTACAGCGCGAGTAGAATTGCATATAAATAGTTTTCTTTGAATTTACCATTAAAGAGTTCCTTTTACAGCAGGTTGTAAATTCCTGTGCTACTAAGTTCATTTTTGATATGAGTTCGACTTCAGTTGACTCGGCAACTACAATTGTTGAATCTACTCGAACTACTGAATCTACTACTGAAATTTGAAATATACTATTAAAGGTTGCAAAACTGAGCAAGGCGCTGGACAGAATAGTATAACTATGAAAGCCATTAAACTATTGGGAGGTGATAACGTTAAAATTCATAAGAAAAATGTAAGAGTAATTCTGAACCTCTATTGAAATCAAAAAGTACGAGTAAGGCTGAACAACTCAATGAACACATAGGAATTTGAAATTTTAAGAGGGGTGTGACAGGAGTGTATTTTGTCTCCTGTGCTGTTCAACCTCTATGTGCAGAATGTTTTTGCAGAGACACTCGAAGGCTCTGAGTGTGGTATAAAGGTCAACGGGTACCCGATAAATGACATTCGTTACGCTGACGACACCTCTATAATCACAGACAATGAACATGCTGTGCAGTGGATGCTAAATAAAATAAATACCGAGG